ACAAATTCTCCGTTTCCTGAACCAGTACAGCATCTCTGCTCCCTCCCCATGCCTCCTCTCTTAGCTAAGAGCTGCAGTTCTCATGCTGGGATACTTGGGAATGACATTAGATTTGGCCTCTCTCAATGTCCCCCTGGAAATTGTTTAGCTGACTTCCTTCCAAGATGCTAATCAGATTTACAATAACCAAATCATGTGTAATTAAAGGCATTATCAGATCCCACAAACCTACCACGTACCATCTGTATCATCTGGTGTAGGAATACATACACCCAAAGCTCAGTCTTTCCTCCACACTGCAGTGAGTCATTTTTGAAAGGCCTTAATTATAAAATTTCCATTCTCCCTCTGCATCTACTCATTGCACAGGAAAAGAAGACAAGCTAAAGCAACCTTAGGTGAGTTGTAGATTGCTCAAACCTGAAATGCTAAAGTTTTGTCTTTTTTTTTTTTTCTTCTTCTTGTTTTAGGTAATTCCAAAGCATAGGTTTGTCCTTGTGAAGTTCGATACACAATATCCTTACGGTGAGAAACAAGATGAGTTTAAAAAGCTGGCGGAGAGCTCAGGCTCCAGTGAGGATCTTCTGGTGGCTGAAGTGGGGATATCAGGTGAGGAATTCCGGACAGATTAGTACAGTATGGGTTGGTGTGGAGGAAATAAACTTCACTGCAATTTCTGATGAAAACAGGCTCTGAAGTAATTCTGACAGGGAGAAATGAGATGGGCTGGCCCTGCCAGACCAAAGCACCTGCTGTGGCTGGTCGCTGAGCTCTGTCACTGTGCCGCCCGCCACGAGCGTAGGAGTGCTGCTTATCTCCTTTCAGCTGGTTAATGAAGCAAGTCAGCCCACACTGCTAAACGGGATGCCGCCCTCCTCATTTGTAGCACTTTTTGTCTTTTTTTTTTTTTTTTTCCTTTCTTTCTTTACCAAGAGAAACCTTTTTGTCCATTTCCGAGGAGGAGGCCTTACAAGAATCATGCTTTAGCCACAAGCCTGGTCAAACAAAGCATATGTAATATGATTAACTCATTGCAGCAAACCCTCCATTTATTGTTGAAGCACAGAAAGTGGTCGTTGCGCTGTGGCTGGTGTAACTCGATGTTCTTGTAATTGGCTTTAAGAGAAAAGCAGTGAAGAGTGGATCACTGTCACCTTACTTGCTCTTGCTTTGTAGGTAGAATTAAGAATTTAAGCTTACAGGAATACAATTCCCACAAACTGGGAAGTTTCACCCACATTGACATTTCTAAACACACATGGATTTAGCTAAGTAGCATAGCTGAAATCTCTTAAGTTATGTTTTCTGTCCTCAAGAATAAATGCAATTTATGTCAGATGAGAAAACATCTTGTAGCTTGGCGTGCTGTCAGAACTAAAACATGTAAGTGTACACTCTGCACATGGATGAGGGAAAAAAATCCATTTAGCTGTAAAATCAAACAAAATCAATGGCTAGAGCAAAACAAGGGGAAAAATGGCTATTAACATCCCATAAGGAGGATGGGGTTTGTACATAGCAGTCCTGCTGATGTCTTATGCTATTGCAGCCCCAGCAAAGCACCATTAGAATCTTGTATTTTGCTTTAGAGAACCTAATGATGGTTTGCCTTGCACAAAAGATTTTCTGGGGTGTTTTTGTTTCGGTGTGTGGCATTTCCTGCCAAAGAGGTTATTGGGACATGTTGAAACTCTGGAAACAAATATTTATCAGTTTCTGTAGGAGATAATCCTGAATTAATTTTTTCTTTTGATTAACATACTGTGCTTTTCTGTGTTTCGTTTTCTCTTGACAGATTATGGTGATAAGCTGAACACTGAGCTGGGAGAAAAGTACAAGCTGGATAAGGAAAAGTTCCCTATTTTTTACTTGTTCCAGGATGGTGACTTTAACAATCCCTTACCTTACAGCGGCCAAATCAAGGCCGGGGCTATTCAGCGCTGGCTGAAGAGTAATGGCATCTATCTGGGGATGCCAGGCTGCCTGAAAGAGTACGACATGCTGGCCAGCAAGTTTGTGAGCACCACTGAGAAATCAGAACGCCAGTCCCTCCTGAAAAAGGGGCAGGAAAGTTTAGAAAAAACAAAAGAAACCGAGAAGAAGTCAGCTGAGCAATACTTGAAAATTATGAGCAAGATACTGGAGCAAGGGGAAGAGTTTGCTGCTAATGAAGTTGTCCGAATCACAAAACTGATCGAGAAGAACAAAATGAGTGATGGAAAAAAGGAGGAGCTCCAGAAAAGCCTCAATATCCTTGCTTCTTTCCTGAAGAAGAATAATGAAAAAGATGAGCTCTAATATGTTGGAGAACTCTGTACAAGCTGTGAAACACTGTCAAGAGTCCTAACCAGTTCTCCTTATGCAAGCAAACTTCCCGCTGACTTCAAGAGAGCAGCAGATTTCCTTCTGGTATTTTCAGTTTAGAAGATCAAGAGGAAGACATTCCTTAAAAACACAGTATTCTAAACGTTGGAAAAATCACCTTAAAGCAAGACACCAGTATTGTGTAATACTATTCAGTAACAGTGTTAAAGCAGACCAAAAAAAAGCACTAGAGATTGGCCTGAAGCACATTCCTGGTGGTTTTTACAGCTGTTCCCTGGCAAACAAATAACAAAATTCAGTCTCACATTCCATCTTACCTGTTGTACAAGGTACAGATTGGGTGCCCCTCACATCCTTTCCCTGTTCTTAGTGTCCTTAGATTTTATGCTCTTTAATCTACCCCTCCTCCTACCTTTTGTTTTCCCAATAGGGCTCCTTCTCCAAGTCTTGGTCTCCTTACCTGTTGTTGATTAAGAGACACGAAGTTTCCTTTTCTGCCTTCTCCTTCAGTGGCTTCTGTTTCTGACTTGGGTATCAGCCAAATGCTGGCAGGCATAGTGAAGACAGGTCGTCCACGTATCAGAACTTGCCCCTCATCTTCTGGCCAGAGTAGCCGTCTCGGCAAATGTGCTCCTGAAATCCTTTGTGGAATCCTGACAGAGCGAGTGATTTGAGCTCTGAGCAAGGGCAGAGTCTCCTTGAGGTGCTATTACACTTAGTCTTGCCAGTTTGTGCAAAAATGTCTTTTTTCAGAAGTAAGTTTGGGTGAATTTTCTCATGGCTGAAGAGCACATGCAATGCCTGTGCATTTTGCCTGTCCTTCCCATCCAAGCTTTATTTCCCAGGTTCAAAATAAGGGGATGGCGGTGAGACCAATAAGGACATGTGAAAGTCCCAAGCCATAGTTAACATGAACCAAATATTTTCTCCAGCCTCATCTTCAGAAGCAGTTGACACTATCAAACTAAAGCTTCATCAGCATTTGGTAGTTTTAAGTATTTGAGAATGAGGTAACAGAAAGCAGAAGTATTTGTGCCCTTAGAAGCCTCATCTATGTCATTTTAATTGAGATACCTGGCCCAGGGATCAGGTCAGTCCTCAAAAGTTGATACTGCATCTGCTGTTCACACTGTGTGGAATTCAGGTGGCTGGTAGAAGATGCTGTTCTGATGAGGGCTATAGAGAGTTGAAAAGAGAAACACCTGAGTGTTTTACCTTAAGACTACGCTTTAAGCTAAGCAAAACTGATTTCTGTGGGAGCTTTGCTGCCTTTTGAATGCTGGAGTGGGTACAAGGAGCTGATATTGCTGCAAGATAAAATGTATTAATAATGCTATAATAATAAAATTGTTCCAATTAATAGCTGCTTCTTAAACTGCTTTCTAGAGAAACTGCCACTGATTTCTGTGGCCAGGAGGGAAGGCAAAGGCTGATCAGCCAGATGATGCCACCCACCTAGAAGCGAAAGGAATGTCCCGGAGACGAGGGGTTTACACGAAGCGGTGGGAGGGAGGGTGTCCTTCAGGCCCGCCACCCTCTCTCCCTTGGGAGGGGAGGAGGAAAGGCCCCCAAGCGGGGGGGGCTTCGGGGGGGGGGGGGGGGGGCAATCTTGACGAAGCCTGTGTGAAGACGCTTCCCGCTTGGCTCCTGAGGAGGGAACCGAAGACCAGGCGCCCTTCGCGACAGAACAACAACGACCACCACCTTATCGCGCGCCCCCTCACAGGCGCCGCCACCCCGCGCGCTCCTTAAAGCGGCTTCCCGCCCCCGGCCGCTCGTGACGTCGCCAAGAGGCGGTGCCATGGAGGAGAGAGGGGGAGTCCCGTGCCAACTTACTGTGTGGGGGAAGCTAAGCAGGGTCGCTTCGGGTCGGCTCCTAGAGGAGTGACCGGAGATGCAGCGGCCCGGGTGTCCCCGCTGAGCTCTCCCGCCAGGGCTGGGTCGGGTGGGGATGCGCGGAGGCGCGGGTCGCCGGCTCCCGGGACGCTAGCCCCGCTGTTCCCCCGGGGCTCCGGCCCCTCCTCAGCTCTTCTCTACCACCGAGCGCTCCCCGCAGCCGGCCCCGACAGCGAGGGCCGGGCCCGGGGCGCGGGGCGGGCCGGGTGCGGG